GTATTAGTCTAACGCCAGTTGTGACAAAATTACTGGCCTCGATTCTCGTTCGTCGCCTCACTGCAGAACGGGAATCTCGGATAAGGGAAGAGCAGGCCAGTCTTCGCCCTGGAGGTGGCTGTATAGACCGTATATTCACTTTGCGGCAGGTGCTAGAACAGCACCACGCATACCGCAGACCGACAATAGCTGTGTTCCTCGATTTCAAGTGTGCGTTCGATTCAGTCGATCGACCGATTCTCTCCGAATTACTTGCGCGGAAAGGTGTTCCCACGAAATATGTGAACATCCTTCGTGCTCTATACTCGAACACTACACGCCGCGTCAGGGTCTACGGTGGCCTATCGGATAGCTTTCCGACTACAAGTGGCGTTCGTCAGGGCTGTCCGATTTCCCCACGTTCGTTCAAATTCGTCGTGAATTCTATCATGGAGTGTTCCCTTGCGGAATCTCAAGATGTAGGCGTTGAAGTGCTGCATGGTGCAAGAGTAGTTGATCTAGATTATGCGGACGATATCGTCTTGCTTTTCGAGAATGTTGCGGCGGCACAATCAACTCTGAATAGCCTGTCTAGAGTGGTCTCATTATTTGGTATGCACTTCGCATCTTCAAAGTGCAGTGTTGCTGCAGGACCACCGGCCACTTGATGACCCCTTGACGCTTGCTAACGAGGAACTCAAGATGGTTGATCAATTCACTTATCTTGGCAGCTGCATCAGCAATGATGGGCGCATAGAAACTGAAATCAGCTCACGCATTGCAAAGGCCAGAAATGCCTTCTTGGATCTGCGGCATCTTTGGCTACAGAAGGGAGTTCCCCTTCGTCTGAAAGGCCGTGTACACAAGGCCACAGTGAGGGCCGTCCTGCTCTATGGTAGTGAAACTTGGCCCCTTCGGTCTGAAGATCTGAGGCGTCTTCAAGTCTTTGATCATCGTTGTTTGCGAAGCATTGCTGGTGTCGGATGGCACCAACATGTCCGCAACAATGATGTGCGTAGGCGAGTACTAGGTGGTGATAATCATGCTAGCTCCCTAGAACAACAGATAACACTGAATAAGTTGCGTTGGCTCGGGCACGTGCTACGCATGTCTGGTCACCGCTTACCTAGGATGGCCTTGTTCAGTCTACCAGGTGTAGGATGGCGCAACGCTCGAGGTGGACAGAAGTTGACTTGGCAGAGGGAAATGAAGTCACTGACGACCAAACTGGGTGCCGTTGGTCCGTCTCGCCTTCCGGGTTGGAGTCCACATGACTCGCCTTGTGCTTGGCTCGAGACTTTACAGGATATGTCTCGCAGTAGACACCGGAGGCGCGTCTGCTGTCGTCTCCTAATCGGATTGTCTGTTTAAAGCGTGTTTGGTGCTGAGTTATCTGCGGTGTAATGGCTGATTATGACGCGTGGCAGTGAAAGCCGCAAGGAAGCTGTCTCGCCGATGCCGCCTTATCTTTGCACGATAGCCAGCTGTTTGTGACGGTATGTTGTCTACACAGAATGGGCGCCTTGACCCTGAAGGTTTGCTTAGGGCATTAAGGTTTTCAGGTAAGTCCCCCTTGTCTCCCTCTTCTTGTTCTTTATTTCATAATTCCTCATGGTTGTATGGCAGCGAAGCATCAGTCCAAATGGCTGATGTACTGCTGTTGATGATGATGATGATCCTTTTCAGTAGACTTGCTTCACTGCACGCAGCAAGAAGGCCCGGTCACGTCCCAAGTAAGCGATGCGAATACCCATCACATCGTGCTCCATCTGCATTGGTAAGAAAAAAGGGCAGCGATTTTGCGACAGTTCTCCTTCTTAGTAACGGTATACCATATAACCTAGGACTTCTTGTTTACCTGTTTATGGTCCCACTTCCAGTCCAGGCAGGGGATGTGAGGACGAAGATCGGCGGTGAACCGCAGAACTTGAGGGTGGTGTGTAAAATGACTCCGTGGGGATTCGTGCAAATATTTGCTTGAATTTAGCAATAATTCTTGAAAGTAGCAGTGAAAAACAAAATATCAAACGACCCATAAACCTGCAGTTGTGTGTCAAAACAGGTCGGCCGGTGGTCGAGTAGTATGTGCGTCTAGTTTGCAATCATGTCACCGGTTCGAATCCGCGTAGGGGCAGGCGTCCTCGCGGTATATTCAGCTCATACGCGACTGGTGGTGGTCGCGTGGCAGCGAAGCACCGTTACGGCGTACAGATGGCGATTTCCTTTACTTACTTAAGCTAAAACAGAAAACTGCTGCTCAAATCCAACTAGGAAAGGCCAGTTCCGAGCTACCGCCTCATGGATTTGCCACTTACTGTACTTTCAGAGCATGATCCGTGCAACCTGATAGCAAAATGAACCAAAACAAGCCCCTAGTTCCATCGCTGAACACATGCTTGACTGCCCCGTATGTGAAGACCCGACTGAATCATTTAGAATAATCAACCAAAAGAGCGCCGTTAGCCATTCTCAGTTTACCAGGACTTCGGCGATTCGGCAGCTGAAACACACTCCATGTAAACAGAAAGAGCTGGTAGCCAGCCTCGCAATGCCAAGGTGAGCCTAACAGCTACGTTTATCTAACAGAAAAGCTGACCAGCGTCAAATGAGACTTGACCGTCATCGGTTCACTAATGATGCTACATTTTAATTGTCCCTGTGTACAAAGGAACTAATCCATAAGGTACATATAAATGGCTGACAGAAAGACACGAAATAGCTGAAGTCAACTTATGCCGGCGTTCTAGTCATTTAAAAATTTATGAAGGAGAAACGTTGTAGGAAAGAAAAGAGGGTGTGTAGAAAGATAATAATTCGCTTCTCAATAATTCCTGCACATACTGACCACTGGCGGGGCTGATGTCAAAAATTCATCCAGATGGGACGCGTATCCAACCGGCTAAGTCTATCAAGCAGTCTCCTTACAACTACCTGCTACAAACCGACTGGCCACCTTGTGACTGAACAAAGCAGTAAGAGGATGGAAGGGCCCGTGAAGAAAATGTCCAAACAATCGTAGGCGGTTATAATTAAAAAAAACCCAACTCAAACGGTACCAGAGGGCCCGTTGTTAGACGACAACTGGTAAACTACAGCACTCTTTCAGTGAGCTACCCATAGACGAACAATACGTTGTAGACACCGTGGCTGAAACATGAGTCGCCTTTTAAAGTTTTCGTGCGAAGTGGATATTTATTTGATAGATACAAGACACCAGCAATGCTGCAGTATTGTGGTTGACTGACAATGTCCTCCCATAGCCATCCGAAAAGGTGTGTTAATTACTTGCAGAGAGCTCGACCATCATGTTTGAATGGTGAAGAGAAGCGAGAATCCGAAACGGCAGAGTAGAAAATACCCAGAGCCTTGGCCTCATTAGACTATGGCTGATTGTGTCGCTAAGCAAATTCGCCGTGATCCGAGCCAGACGGTACTAGCTGCCGCAAACAAGGGCGCCGGCGCTGTCCATGATAACCTCACAAAGTGAGCATGCCTTGGGACCAGTGGCGCATATAAGCTGGGTGAATCTGTGGCGCTTTCCCGTGGTATTTATGTGCTGCACCGCTTCCTCCATTTGGAGTCCATTAAATCCTTCAAACTTCCCGGTCAGCTCGTACCTGATATCCCACTCTGTGGCAGCGTGATCGGTACCAGCAGGGGTACATTTTCTGTACTTCAGTACGCTCAGCGAAATTGCAGATAGGTCATAGCCCGCCGGATGACGATTATCAGTGGCAAGAAAAAAGCGCGGCAAAATTTGATTGCTTTGGGGAAAGAAGATGAAAGCGTGTTTCGCAGGGCGTCGTTATATGTCTGCCAATCCGTAAGCCGTAACAACTCGCGCTATACCAACAACGAGGACAGCCATAAGTGCTTCGCTGCGAGGGTTAGATAGAATGCACAGCGTACCAGGCCATGCTCAGAGTCGATGCACGCCAACAAATAACGAGTGGTAGCCAAGAATGGGATCAAATCATGTGAGGCCTATGGTACGGTGCTGAAACCAGTTGAACATCAGGTGCCAAACCGGTGACAAGTGCGTCTGGAGTCGGTACTAAGCAGACGCAGCAGAAAGTTTGACAGCGCTGTAATAGACGTTTGCCACGCGGATAACAACACGGTTGCGGAAAGCAAAACCATATTCGTGTGATAAAGCTGAGCATTAGCATAGTAAATCGGACAGAGTATGCATCTTCGGTAGAACCAGGTGGTTGAAGCGTGGGTAAAGAATACTAACAAGCCGTGTATAGCGCTGCGCAGTGCAAGAATTGATCGGCGATGTGAAACGAGTAGTACAGAGGAGGCTGCCTACCAGAATCCAAGTAACTAACGAAAAGTCATCAGGAGGGTGAGCAACGTCTACCATAACGCATCTGTGTTTGTCATCAGTAATTCTGAATGCAAGTAAGCAGCTGAGATAATGGGCTAGGTGAAATTACCTCGAAAACCAAATGGGGTATGAAACGCAGGTGAGGAGACGAGTCGTAGGGCCAGTTCGAGAAAACCCGGCGCGTGAAGGAAAAACTTGTTAATTTATGTGAATGAAGATTGGATGCAATCAATTTAATCAAATATCGTGGAAGGAAAGAGATCAACGAGTCTACGGAACTATTGAGTGTGAATGACATTTTCAATGGAAGCGCAGATACCGTCATGTAAGCAGAGGACGACGGCAGCAAAGTTAGTAAGGTGAATCAATAATAGTGTAGAAAAGGAATACGAAAAAGAAAAGGGGGTGCAAACAGCAAAATACTTGCACTTATCTGCACCGTAATACCTTTGAAAATGTGCGGTGATCGATGCGGGATAAGGCAGGGAACTGGTGGAAGAACCACGACCGCATGTGGTCAGGGATATTACATAGGCAACTAAGTCTTGAAAAGAGGTTGATTACGGTCTATAACCTTTGATCCAAAAGTCTGACGACAAGATAATAAGACAGTCCGTGGGAGATAACAATATAACAAAGTCCACTAAGCAGCACACACTAGAATAAAACTGACTATCACATGGAGACTAACTTCTTCGGCAGGCAGTATTCGTGAATATTCCTCGCTAATGGAATGTATACTGAAGGTGGAGTAGCAAAATAGAAAATTCGGTTCACGTTTTCACCCCATGTGGATTCGATAAACTGACTCAGTTCTTTGAATCCTTCAGGCTTGGAGTAATCACCTTTAAGGTAGAAATTCTTTGTCCAAAACTTCTCCAGCCTTTCACTGTGAGCGGATGCAAGCTGAAAGCGAAGTGAACTCGTTTGAAATTATGATCAAATCGGTTTTCGTATAGCGAACTAATAGACATACGTATATAACACACCTTCATATAAGGTTCAGTTGCTGCACGTATTTGTTGAACGCTCAGGGCCGATCTAGCATACCCAACAAAGTACGTGTTGTGTGGTAGCAAATCGTCCCGAAAGAGCCACCTAACGCGTTAAGAAAAAGTGCTACGAATACGCCCAACTTACCACACAGAAGGATATGTCTTCTTTTTCGCCAAGTCCCCCTAGAAAGTTTTAAATGTAGCCACACAAGTGACATACCGAAGCTCCAAAAATGACGAAAACATGGGCATGAGTTTCATCTTCCCTCAAGGTGGATCTGATCAAGTCCAAACACGATAAATTAGACATAGTCTGATGGGTGGCAACCACCTCTGAAAAAGAGACAAAACATTTTTTGACTTTTTTGCAGGAAAGCCATACATATTGGTAGAATGCCTATTGTCAAAAAATAAAACCTAGGGTATTTTGCCAAATAAGAGAAGAAGACCCGTAACGAGACAGAAAAGGATAAGAAAGTGAAGTGGAGCCAAGCGAGAAGGTGAAACAGAACGTGTTCCAGAACCTAGAAAAATGGATTCTACTTCAAAAACTGAAAGTGTGAGCCCAGACTGAACAGTGTGTGACAGAGTGAACTCAGCTTAGATGGCAAAATGTGAGTCAGGAAATTGGCTACAAGTAGCTCTGTCATAATATAAATCGTCGAAACGACACAAATTAACCATCATCATCATCAACAGCAGCAGTACATCAGCCATTTGAACTGATGGTTTGCTCCCATACAACCATGGGCAACTATGAAATAAAGAATAAGAAGAGGGAGACAAGGGGGACTTACCTGAAAACCTTAATGCCCTAAGCAAACATTCAGGGTCAAGGCGCCCATTCTGTGTAGACAACATACCGTCACAAACAAATGGCTATCGTGCAAAGATAAGGCGGCATCGGCGAGACAGCTTCCTTGCGGCTTTCACTGCCACGCGTCATAATCAGCCATTACACCGCAGATAACTCAGCACCGAACACACTTTAAACAGACAATCCGATTAGGAGACGGCAGCAGACGCGCCTCCGGTGTCTACTGCGAGACATATCCTGTAAAGTCTCGAGCCAAGCACAAGGCGAGTCATGTGGACTCCAACCCGGAAGGCGAGACGGACCAACGGCACCCAGTTTGGTCGTCAGTGACTTCATTTCCTTCTGCCAAGTCAACTTCTGTCCACCTCGAGCCATGTAACACCCTACACTTGGCAAACTAAACAAGACCCTCCTAGGTAAGTGGTGAACAGGCATACGTAGCACGTGCCCGAGCCAACGCAACTTATTCAGTGTTATCTGTTGTTCTAGGGAGCTAGCATGATTATCACCACCTAGTACTCGCCTACGCACATCATTGTTGCGGACATGTTGGTGCCATCCGACACCAGCAATGCTTCGCAAACAACGATGATCAAAGAGTTGAAGGCGCCTCAGATCTTCAGACCGAAGGGGCCATGTCTCACTCCCATAGAGCAAAACGGCTCTCGCTACGCCCTTGTATACATGGCCTTTCAGACGAAGGGGAACTCCCTTCTGTAGCCAAAGATGCCGCAGATCCAAGAAGGCATTTCTGGCCTTTGCAATGCGTGAGCTGATTTCAGTTTCTATGCGCCCATCATTGCTGATGCAGCTGCCAAGATAAGTGAATTGATCAACCATCTTGAGTTCCTCGTTAGCAAGCGTCAAGGGGTCATCAAGTGGCTGATGGCCTGCAGCAACACTGCACTTTGAAGGTGTGAAGTGCATACCAAATAATGGGACCACTTTGGACAGGTTATTCAGAGTTGATTGGGATGCCCCAACATCGTCGAAAAGCAAGACGATATCGTCCGCATAATCTAGATCAACTACTCTTGCACCATGCAGCACTTCAACGCCTACATCTTGAGATTCCGCAAGGAAACAAACCATGATAGAATCCACGACGAATTTGAACAAAAATGGGGAAATCGGACAGCCCTGACGAACGTCACTTGTAGTCCGAAAGCTATCCGATAGGCCACCGTAGACCCTGACGCGGCGTGTAGTGTTCGAGTATAGAGCACGAATGATGTTCCCATATTCCGTGGGAACACCTTTCCGCGCAAGTAATTCGAACAGAATCGATCGATCGACTGAATCGAACGCACACTTGAAATCGAGGAACACAGCTATTGTCAGTCTGTGGTATGCGTGGCGAAGCTGTAGCTCCTGCCGCAAAGTGAATATACGGTCTATACAGCCACATCCTTGGCGGAAACCGGCATAGAAACACTGAAACCGGATGGAGTTACAAAACAGTAATCAAAAGTAACTTATTTCCATATGACTACCGATAACTTGGTTACAATATGTTAACCGATGTCTGTGGATAGTGATGTGGTTGATTCCGCTCGAATCTGCTGTAAAGGTAAAAAACCAACAACAGTGGGTCGATACCAGTAATACATCAGCATAAACGAGCAGAGGGGAGAATATGGTAGGTCCAATTACGTTGATAGCCAGGTAGGACATGAATTTTCTCTTAGGATACGAGGTACACGTAAACTCCAAGAAAATCCAGTGCTAGTGCAGGTGCGGTCTGCTAATTTATTTATATGAAAGCGGAATACAACCAATGAAATCCAGCATGGTGGCGTGACAGTGATTAACTATTGTACAGAACCACTAGGAAGAATACATAGGACAAAGGTTGATCGAAACATGGGGGGCAAGGGATGAAAGGTTAATGATGCATATCAAGAATCGTGTGATCGAAGCATTTGAGAGGAAGGGGGTGAGTACAAATAGCAGAACATTTGCACGCATCTACATCGCTGTAGTAGGCAGTAAGCCTGTAGAAACGGCGTGGTGTGTGATGTTGAATGAGGCTGTAGATTGTCGGCCGGTGACCGAAAGTTTTGCACACCCGGCTTGCTATCCTTAGGTGAACGGTTCGAATCCGCGTACGGGCGGACGTCCTCGCGCGACTGACGGTGGTCGTGGCAGCAAAGTCCGTACATTGTGCTGGCACACTGCTGCTGATGACTGAAGCAATAGCGATTTCGTGTGAGGTGACACTGTCTCGGTAACCAAGTCCTTGTAATCCGAGGCCGCGCGTACGAGCCTGCGTAGGGCGACTCTCCCAGTATCCTTAGCCCACGTGCTTCGCGGCTGCGAAGCCTCGGTACTGCGTACTGGAGTATTCCTGATGCTTTTCTTCTTTCACGTATAAACCGTCCATAGTAATTGGCCATGCCGAGAAAACGGCGTAGACTCCCAACAGATTAAGGCGATGGGTATTCTATGATGGCTCAGCTTACCTCGGCGAGGGCTAACACTGTAACTGTCAATACTGTGACCCGTAAAATAGGTGTAAAATTGGTCATAGACGCATTTGTCGGGGTTGATGGTTGTGACCTGATGCACGAAAACTTTCTGAAGGTGTGGCATGTGTTCCAATGCAAAGTACTGGTGTCTAATTCGTTTCTAATCTATATCAATGAAGTGCCTCAGCTTCTCCGGTTGCACTGTGTCCTGCTTGCAGATGATCTGAAGATTTTGAGAGCAACTGATGCTCTCAACGTCTGTGACGTACTTCGGCACGACCTCGACGGCTGGTTTATGTGGCATGCAAATGTCGATTTGCTGGTCAACCAGTTATTTATGAACAGAGTTGTGGTGATCAGTAGCTTCCGCTGTGCGTTATGTAGGTAACCCACGTTTGTAACACCACAAGCTGCCTCAGCCATGTAACATGATTGATGACACTTTGTGCATTTGCAAGCCGCTTTTGCCAGCTTATTTAGTGGGAAGCTATCAAGCAGAACAGCCAATATCGTGTTCGCTGGAAGACGCTTGATCCAGCGTTGGCGAAGTATGGAATCATTTAAAGCAAGAAAGCTGACACGTGACGGCAAGTGCGGAGGGAGCTGAGACGGTGTGCGATCACCAAGCTCGACACCTGAAAGTAGTAGCTACGATAGCGCGCTTTAAGATGTCTGCTTTAAGCATGTCATAAGGTAGGTCAATCGGCAGTGCATCGAGAATATCAGTGATTTCTGAAGTTGAGTGAGAAATTGAGAAATAACATATGGAAACACCGTAGACTGCGAAACAGAACATGGATTCTACTTGAATGAAATAAATACGTGGGTTGAAGAAATCGAAAAAGAGTAAGGCAAAGGCAACGAAATTTTCGGGAAACTGTTTACAGGTTGGCCAGTCATGGTGAAGAAATACGTGGTAAAAAACGGAATCATCCTGAATTAAGCCAAAAGTAGTCGAAGAACGAATAGGCTAGCATGCAGCATAAACCCTATGTTATCGTCCGCTAGAAGCCAACTGATGATTAGAAGCAGGATGTAACATGTGTCCGGTCAGGGATTCCGAGGGCTTCCGCCTCCGATGCGCAAGTAGGTGGTAAGGGACCTGTGGTGCTGCAATACAAAACAAATACCTCGCAGCTGGCTGGAAGAAGTTATCACAGCCAACTAGTAAGAGAGCATACAGCATGTAAGGTGTGACTGACCAAGACCTCGTGGCGAGCTAAAGGCCGTTGTCACAAATGCCGATCGCCCAGCTAGCACGAGAGCCATGCAACAGTCTCCAAGACAGTCCCTGGAATTCCAGTGGCAGCACTCTGACAAACGATGAGACCTTTGACAGCCCTCTGAGAGTCCAAAACAGCTGCAAAACATTATGTTTAAAACTGTCGGATAAAATTTCCGCGACGCCTCTGATATGCCCTGTGTGTAGCCCTCCGGGAAGAAAGATGACTGGGCCGCGATCACGAAGTCATTTATTAAGATCACGCTCGAATATATATGGAGTATATACACTATTTACAACAGTCTGTCTCAATGGCTCATCCCTGTTATTGGCATTGTGTCGCTGGCTCCCTTTCCATTGGTTTATGCTTGCTCGCGACGTTCACTCTGTCTAAATCCCCTTGGTTTTCGTAGGCGATGTACGATTGACGGGATTGGGCCCGCGAGCTTCTTCCCTCGGTCCAATGCCACAAGCTTTGGCTCAAGGGTGCACGAGTATGCGCTCCTTCGTCTGCTGGCGCCTAATTGGTCACTTGTACGTTCAGTAGATAGTTGCATGGTGGTCGCGATTACGGGCCAACTATTTCCTGATTGGCTGACCAATCTGCTTCCGGCAACATGCGCACTCCTTATCGGTCTGGCCTGTGACGTTCGATCGGCATTATAGCGTTTCCAATCACCAGCATTTCCAGCCTCCATCACATCCACCCCTTTTTCGTTTTTTAGGATGGCGTTACAATATGTTCCGTATTGCCTATCACTTAGTGTGCGTTTACTGTCCTGGGCTTCGGTAGCAGTATTCCT